TGAAAATCAGTCTAATCCTCTTCCATCTTTTTTTTCCTTAGTACCATCTGGGATTGACAGCTCAGCCTGAACTCTATCTTCTGAACACCATGGATGCTGACTCACTGGTGCCTAGATGACTGACGGCCTGAGAGACTATATGAGAACAACTTTCTCTAAGCCCCTTTGTGCCAGGTGTCCTGTTAACATCTCTGTTAGTTCAGAGGTGAGTTTTGTTCAGACGTTTTGAACAAAAGGCCAAGATTTCCTCATGGGAAGGGTGTTCAAAGCTGACGGCTATAAATGTAGGTCAGAGACCCACACGCCTCACAACAGTCACATACTCCCAGAGTTAAATGATGGGCCTCTGGTGGCCACACACTCCTATGGGCTTGTGTCTTGGACTCTGGGATTTAAAAAATATATATGTATATATAATTACGTAAACCTGAGCATCTCAGTTTGGGTAAAGTGTTAAGGTTATATGAAACTGATAGAGCTTTTGTATTTTTTAAAAAAAATTTAGTTTAGATAAATCAGATATTTGTTTTCTCTGGATCACAAGTGAGAAAGGAAAGAGAATTTCCTTTTCACAATGAACTGGTCAAACTGACTATCTTGTAAAGTGATATTTTACTATGTAAGTTAAATTTCACTTTGATCGTAATGGACCAGATTAAATCTTTGGTATCTATTGATATTAACACATCATTTCTTAAAAAAAATTTTCTCTATTTGGCGATCATAATTAACCCAGGTTATCAGCCTGTTTCGTAACTATTGTCTTTGTTGTCACTTTTCTTGAATTGTTTTCTAGTCATTAAACAAATATGAAGGCATTTGCCAAAGAGCTTTAATACCCAGTAACAAGATCCAGAGACCATACTTTAATCAGTGATCAGTTTTCCGTGCTGCATTGTAACTCAGCTCATTCTGGCATTCAAGTTTTAGGCAGAAAAAGAAGAAACTCCTCACATTTAACTTGTAAGGCCTGACATAAGATAGTGAAGATATTAATCTTCTTTCTAATATTTGTATAGTCCTCAGTTTAGTTTCTTCTCACTATTCCCATCAACGTGCCAAACATCATTTCTAGGTCCAAAGTCTGTTTCTAGGAGTGGCTAATATTTGTATCGTTGAAACTCCTAGGGAATGCCAAATATTTTACTTTAAAATATTCAGCACTTTGGGAGGTCGAGGTGGGCAGATCACGAGGTCAGGAGTTTGAGACCAGCCTGGCCAACATGGTGAAACACTGTCTCTACTAAAAATACAAAACTTAGCTGGGCATAGGGGAGGGTGCCTGTAATCCCAGCTACTCAGGAGACTGAGGCAGGAGAATCATTTGAACCCTGGAGGTGGAGATTGCAGTGAGCCGAGACTGTGCTATTGCACTCCAGCCTGGGCAACAGAAAGTAGCCTTGGGCTACTATACCAAGTAGCACGAGATTAGTACTAGACTGAGATTTGGAATATTAGTCCACATATGACAAACTGCTTGCCTACACCTATAGATTGTTTTCAGCCACCTTCCTAACCATAAATTTGTTGTCTTAATTTTGTTGTTGTTTTTTTGAGACAGAGTCTTGCCCTGTTGCCCAGGTGGGAATGCAGTGACGTGATCTCAGTTCACTACAGCCTCCACCTCCAGGGTTTAAGTGATTCTCCTCCTTCAGCCTCCTAAATAGCTGGGATTACAGGCACACCCCACCACACCAGCTAATTTTTGTATTTTTAGTAGAGATGGGGTTTTACCATGTTGGCCAGCTGGTCTCACACTCCCAACCTCAAGTGATCTCCCTGACTCAGCCTCCCAAAGTGTTGGGATTACAGGTGTGAGCCACTGTGCCCAGCCTTTTTTTTTTGTTGTTGTTGTTAAGACAGGGTCTTGCTCTGTTACCCAGGCCGGAGTGCAATGGTGTGTGATCTTCGCTCAGTGCAACTTCTGCCTCCTGGGCTCAAGCCATCCACTCATTTCAACTTACCAGGTAGCTGGGACAGCAGGCACACACCACCATGCCTAGCTAGTTTTCGTATTTTTTGTAGAGATGAGGTTTCACCATGATGCCCAGGCCAGTCTTGAACTCGTGAGCACAAGCGATCGGCCAGCCTTGGCCTCCCAAAGTGCTGGGATATGGGCATGAGCCACCGCCTCCAGCCCACTCCTCATTTCTTTCTAGCCCCAAACGTGTTGAGTCTGCAAATCCTGCAGCCTTTGTGTGACGTGGAGCATCACTTTCCCCTTTCAGCATTAAATATGTGACCTCTCCGCCTTATTTCTGAACTTACTACATTTCAATAAAACTTTTTAAAAATCCAGACATCGCCTATCTTCATTTAGAATTGTTTGGCCCTTAAAATGGCAGGAATTTTTCTAAAATGACACTTTAAAATTTTCTCATTTCTACTTCAGGGCCTCTTGAAACTTCAGATAAAAAGAGCAGTCAACCCTGCAACTTAGGTTATAATCCTGATCTAAAAATTGAGACAGAATTAACATCAATTTACCTTTTACTTGAGAAAGAGACTCTTAGAATTTCAGTGTTTTGGTTTCTTGATTAAAAAAAACAACTCCAGATGAACCAGTTTGTTGGATTTCCCCCACTTCTCTGGGCAGTTTTATTTCTCGGTAGTTTCATTACCAGAGAGTGTTGGGGGAAAGGAAGGTAAAAAATAAAAACATCCTGTGATGAAACTCATAGAAAGGTGTGGTGGTTGGTTCAGTACTTACGGAATTTCTATAGCTCTTTTCCATTCCTTAACTGTATGTTACTAGGAACAGAGAATACACGTTTACAAGTGTACCCTTCAGGCCACACAACTCCTGTAATCAGAAAATTTCTTAATAAAGGACACTGAGGCCAGGTGCTGTGGCTCATGCCTATAATCCCAGCACTTTGGGAAAGGCCAAGGTGGGTGGATCACAAGGTCAGGAGTTTGAGACCAGCCTGACCAACATGGTGAAACCCCATCTCTACTAAAAATACAAAAATTTGCTGGGCTTGGTGGCGCACACCTGTAAAACAGGCTACTCAGGAGGCTGAGGCAGGAGAATCGCTTGAACATGGGAGGTGGAGGTTGCAGTAAGTCGAGATTGCACCACTGCACTCCAGCCTGGCAACAGAGCGAGACTCCATCTCAAAAAAAAAAAGTCTTGGGTAAGCTTTTCTCTTTTTCTTTCTTTCTTTCTTTCTTTCTTTCTTTCTTTCTTTCTTTCTTTCTTTCTTTCTTTCTTTCTTTCTTTTTCTTCTTTCTTTCTTTCTTTCGAGTCTCGCTCTTGTTGCTCAGGCTGGAGTTCAGTGGCACAATCTTGGCTCACTGCAACCTCTGCCTCCTGGATTCAAATGATTCTCCTGCCTCAGCCTCCTGAGTAGCTGGGATTACAGGCATGCGCCACCACGCCTGGCCAATTTTGTATGTTTAGTAGAGACAGGGTTTCTCCATGTTGGTCAGGCTGGTCGTGAACTCCCAACCTTAGGTAATCCACCCACCTCAGCCTCCCAAAATGCTGAGATTATAGGCATGAGCCACTGCGCTCAACTGAGTAAGCTTTTTTCTAAGTTAAGAATATTGAATCACTCCAATTTGTGGTATACAAATCTGGATTACTATAAGTGTACTTATACAAATATGAATATATTCAATCTTAAGAACAAACCGAGTGCATTTACTTAATTTCTGGAGTTCAACACTATGGAGTCAGTCTATAAAAGGATGCTCTGACAATGTATAAACAGAATGTCAGGAAAAAGTGCAATTAAGTAATTGTTACTGAGCAGTCGCTGCTACATAGCTGTGTGCCAGCCTCATATAAAAGGCAGGCAGAGTGTATATGCATATGAAGTAGTTTCATTAATAAGAGAGGCGGGGTTGTAGTTGCTGAAACACATAGCCTTCTCAGTTTCAGACATTACAACACAAGGCCAGTAAAGCTTTGCCCAGGAAGTCTTTTGCAAAGTCACATATTGTTATGTTATGTTTATAGGGTCTTCATGCAGTGACCCCTCTCACTTTACCCAAACTGAAGTGGGTAAATTCACATCCTGCATACTTCCTAACTTTTCTCCAAATGTGATTTTATATTTTAATTTAAACACAGTTTGTAGGTTCTCATGCATAGCTATTCTTAACAAATGAATACGTTGCATTGCCTTTTTTTTTTTGAGACGGAGTTTCTCTCTTGTTACCCAGGCTTGAGTGCAATGGTGCGATCTCGGCTCACCGCAACCTCTGCCTCCTGGGTTCAGGCAATTCTCCTGCCTCAGCCTCCTGAGTAGCTGGGATTACAGGCACACACCACCATGCCCAGATAATTTTTTGTATTTTTAGTAGAGATGAGGTTTCACCATGTTTACCAGGATGATCTCGATCTCTTGACCTTGTGATTCACCCGCCTCAGCCTCCCAAACTACTGGGATTACAGGCTTGAGCCACTGCGCCAGGCAGCATTACTTTTTTTAAGCAACAAATATATTACGTTAGCTCTCTCAGAGTAAAATTACAAAATTGTGGAACCTATTGGGTTTTGCAAGAAAAGCTAGTTTCTAATTAAACTCTTAATTATTTTTAATGCTGAGTATATATTGAGAAGGTAGAATCTTTCCAGTAGCCTGGTTAGAAATACTTTTCATTGCAACCAACATGAAAGGATGATTTATTTTGGCCGGGTGCAGTGGCTCACGCCTGTAATCCAAGCACTTTGGAGGCCAACGCGGGTGGATCACCTGAGGTTGGGAGTTCAAGACCAGCCTGACCAACATGGTGAAACCCCATCTTGATAAAAAAAAAAAAAAGAAAAGAAAAAGAAGAAAAAAAAGGATGGTTTATTTCTATGCCAGCTGTCCTCAATTTTCCTGACCTTAATGGAACATATTAGATCCAGCTGCTGGAATATTTACTCTAATGGAATAAAGCATTTGGATTATTTCCTTGCCTATTTCCCAAAGAGGACAGTGTTGACCAAAATATGTGTACTTGTTGGTAGCACTAGAAGAACTTCATGATAGATACAATTGACAGCTTTTATTTATTTATTTATTTGAGATGGAGTCTTGTTCTGTCCCCAGGCTGGAGTACCATGGTGTGATCTCAGCTCACTACAACGTACACCTCCCAGGTTCAAGCGATTCTCCTGCCTTAACCTCCCGAGTAGCTAGGATTACAGGCATGTGCCATCATGCCCGGCTAATTTTGTATTTCTAGTAGAGATGAGGTTTCTCCATGTTGGTCAGGCAGGTCTTGAACTTTTGACCTCAGGTGATCCACCCACTTCAGCCTCCCAAAGTGCTGGGATTACAGGCATGAGCCACCGTGCCCAGCTGTTGACAACTTTTAAAATACTTATCTGTGCCAGTGGAGAAAAATTTATATAATACACAAAACAATGAGTTAATACCCAGAATGCAGACATTTTCATGTTTTTCTTGTCCACAAATACCGGACTTCACCTTCTTGTCAGTGTCACCCTCCATTGCAGGAAACACTGAGGAAAAGGAAATCACCACCAGAAATCATCTTATATTGCATATATTCTTGATTTTACTTCAGTGACTTTTTTTTTCTCTTCTAGGCTTGGATTCTTTGGGATTAAGCTTAAAGCAGTTATGTCTTCAAAAAACCCTAGATGATTTTTTAGATCCTGAGGGCAGTTAGACAGGAGTTCAAGGCCACGGGCATACTTAACCTTTAACATCTGCTTTGATTTCCTGTGTTTTCTACAGTGTCGTATCACATTAGCAATAGCACTTCTAAATCCTTTTTGCCATCTCAGGGAAAAGAAATTTGTTTGTAGTTCACTTTTGTATTCCTAGGAATACTTTGAAGAAAATCTAAAAATGAATAAATAATTAAATGTTAAACATGTGTTTGGGGTAAAATAGGCAATTTTCTATGTAAGAATGAGATGTAAAGTGGTGAACAACTTTATATAGCAACATGACCATTCTCCTCTGGTGTAATAATTACCCATTCTAAAAAGGAGTTTATGAAACCTTAATTACTTTGACCTATTTGGGGAGAATTAAGTTATGAATAGGATGTCACATTTAACATAGATATAGAAAAGTCTGGCCGGGCACAGTGGCTCACGCCTATAATCCCAGCACTTTGGGAGGCAAAGGCAGGTGGATCACGAGGTCAAGAGATCGAGACCATTCTGGTCAACAAGGTGAAACCCCGTCTCTAATAAAAATACAAAAATTAGCTTGGCATGGTGGCGCATGCCTGTAGTCCCAGCTACTCGAGAGGCTGAGGCAGGAGATTGCTTGAACCCAGGAGGCGGAGGTTGCAGTGAGCCGAGATCACGCCATTGCACTCCAGCGTGGGTAACAAGAGTAAAACTCTGTCTCAAAAAAAAAAAAAAGAAAAGAAGTCTTCCATGGCCAGGTGCAGTGGTTTACACCTCTAATCTCAGCACTTTGGGAGGCCGGGGTGGGTGGATCACATGAGGTCAGAGGTCCGAGACCAGTCTGGCCAACATGGTGAAGCCCTGTCTCTACTAAAAATACAAAATTTAGCCACACGTGGTGGTGGGTGCCTGTAATCCTAGCTACTAAGGAGGCTGAGACAGAGAATTGCTTGAACCTGGGAGGCGGAGGTTGCAGTGAGCTGAGATCATACCACTGCACTCCAGCCTGGGCCACAGAATGAGACTCCATCTAAAAAAAAAGAAAAGAGAAGTCCTCTGTAACTACTATATATCTATTAATTTTCAGATTGCTTTGGCAGACTATCATTAGTTTGACAGATTAGTGGCAGATCATTTTCTGCCACTAACTAAAAAATTTTAAAAAATTAAGTCAGAAAAATCATGCCCTACGTTCTGAAAGACATCAACAAGAGATATTTCTGAGTTGACTGTTTATGATCAGTGATCTGGAAATCAACTTCAAACATTGAGACTTGAAGTACATGAGCATTCTGTCTTACTTCTGTAGTAAAATTTGCTGCATATTGAAAATTTACTCTTGATAATAAATCGTTTTCAGAAGCTTTTTGTCTTTCTTGCTTCCAGCATGTAGCTTCATTTTTTGGACTCATTGAAGAATCTAGGTCTAATGTGATCCTTATACATAGAGTAGAGAACACCTAGGAACAGAAAGATATATATCAATTGAGTATCCATGGGGAAAAAAAACACTGAATTTCTTCCATTTGTTGTATTTTTATGAAACTAGCCCACAATTTAAACAGAAACAAAGGCCCTCCTTTTTATTAGTTTTTAGTTTGGATCATACAAGTGACTCTAGAAAAATACAAAACTCTAGGAGCCCTTTACAATGATTACTAATAAATTTATGATGTTATTGTGCCAGCAAAACATTGGTGAAATATTAGGAGAGTGGGCAAATTTGACCAGATGTTAAGATAAAAATAGTAATAAAAGATAGCAAACATTTATTCAGTCTTTGCTTGTACTTGGTATCTTGAGGAAAACAAATGGTGAATGGATCTAATTCCTGCTTCTAGGGAATTTATGATCTAATGGGTGAATTGCCTGTGAGTTTAGATGGATGATATGTATGGCTTCCACAGAGTCCTAGGCATGCAGAAAGGGGGAAGTAGCTGGGGGAAATAAGATGAGGAAGAGAGGAGCTGCTTTAGTGAGTTCCAAGGATGTCAGCAAATGTTGACACCCAAAAGCAAGTTAGGGAGTCACAGATTTAAACTACAACTCACATACCACCACCACCAGCCCATACCCATCTCAGTTATCAAGGTATCAGATTTCAAAATTAGATCTCTCTTCTGAGTGTGAAACCCATATATTCATTATTGTACATATGACATTTTTTTTTTTTTTGAGATGGAGTCTCTCTCGTCACCCAGGCTGGAGTGGTGCAATAGCGTGATCTCAGTTCACTGCAACCTCAGCCTCCCAGGTTCAAGCAATTCTCCTGCCTCAGGCTCCCGAGTAACTGGGATGAAAGGCACCCACCACCATGCCCAGCTAATTTTTGTATTTTTAGAGGAGATAGGATTTTGCCGTGTTGGCCAAGCTGGTCTTGAACTCCTGACCTGAGGTGATCCACTCACTTTGGCTTCCCAAAGTGCTGGGGTTACAGGTGTGAGCCACTGTGCCTGGCTTTACATATGACATTTCCACATGTCATAGGTAGATGGTCTCCAAACTCTCCAAATTTACTTAAGTAAATATGTTGAGCATGCCTCTCAAAATGTGCATTTATTCATTTATTTCTGTCTCATTCAGAATAAATTATTCATTTATTTCTGAGCTAGGCTCTGTCTCGCCCAGGCTGGATTGCAGTGGCACAATCTTGGTTCACTGCAGCCTCCACCTCCCAGATTCAAGCAGTTCTCCTGTCTCAGTCTTCTGAGTAGCTGAACTATAGGTGTGTGCCACCACAATTGAGTAATTTGTGATCCACCTGCCTTAACCTCCCAAAGTGCTAGGATTATAGGTGTGAGCCACTGTGCCAGGCCAAACTGTGCATTTATTTATAAACAATATAAATGCAGGTGGGTGGTGGGGGTTTATGCCTGTAATCCCAGCACTTTGAAAGGCCAAGGGAGGAGGATCACTTAAGTGTAGGAGTTAGAGACTAGGCTAGTTAAAATAGCAAGACTCATCTCTACCAAAAAATTTTAAAAATTAGGGCAGGGCATGGTGGCTCATGCCTGTAATCCCAGCACTTTGGGAGGCTGAGGCAGGCGGCTTATCTGAGGTCAGGAGTTCAAGACCAGCCTAGCCAACATTGCAAAACCCCGTGTCTACTAAGAATACAAAAATTAGCCAGGCGTGGTGGCAGGTGCCTGTAATCCCAGCTACTTGGGAGGCTGAGGCTTGGGAATTGCTTGAATCCGGGAAGCAGAGGTTGCAATGAGCTGAGTTTGTGCCATTGCACTTCAGCCTGGACGACAGTAGCACATATGCCTGGCTAACTTCTTAATTTTTTGTAGAGACAGGGTATTCGCCATATTGCCTAGACTGGTCTCAAACTTACAGGCTCAAGTGATCCTCCTGCCTCGGACTCCCAAAGTGCTGAGATTACAGGCATGAGCCACCACACCCAGCCTAAAATGCTCTTTATATATCACTACTAGTAGTTTTGCTTGTCTGAATCCTGACTGATACAGTTTGGAATTAGAAGTGCTTCCAGAGGAGCAGAACCATGATAGATTCTCTGAAGTGGTTTTGGGTTACTCGGAATTGATTTTCTGATCCATTTAGATTTAAAGGCATTAATGGCCATGTTTTCAGTGATAAAGAAAATACTAACAGTTCATGCGATGTAATAGTAAAATCGTTTCTTAAATTATCACCCATTAGGCCAGGCGTGGTAGCTTATGCCTGTCATCCCAGCACATTGGGAGGCTGAGGCAGGAGGATCACTTGAGGTCAGGAGTTCAATATCAGCTTAGACAATGATGTGAGATCCTCATTTCTACAAAAAATAAAGGCCGGGCCCAGTGGCTCATGCCCACAATCCCAGCACTTTGAGAGGCTGAGGCAGGTGGACCATTTGAGGTTGACCTCCTGACATCAGGTGATTCCCCCGCCTCAGCCTTCCAAAGTGCTGGGATCACAGGGGTGACCCACCACACCTGGCCTACTTTGCTTTCTTTTCTAATTCCTTTCCCTGCTCACTTCAAGCCCAAGCTCCAGAATCATAAGCAAGAGCCTCATATAAGTCTAAATACCTGTAATAAATCCCTCACTAAATATTACTACTAGTAGTTTTGCTTTTCTCATCAAACACTGATTCACCTACCAAGCTATGTAGTTTTCCACTTACATGCTATGCTTCTATGCCTTTGTTTTTTCCTCTGCCTAGAATCCTGAGCTCCTTCTCTGCTTAGTTAATTCCTCCTTATTCTTAGTTCAGCACGTGATTTACATCCTTAGAGAAGCCTCCCCTGGCCTCCCAGCCCTTGTTAAATACCACTCCCTATGTTTGTGCTACCATAGCAAACTGTGCTATTTCTTTTTTTTTTGAGACGGAGTCTTGCTCTGATGCCCAGACTGGAGTGCAGTGGTGTGATCTCAGCTCACTGCAACCTCCACCTCCCAGATTCAAGCGATTCTTCTCCCTCAGCCTCCTGAGTAGCTAGGACTACAAGTGCACGCAACCACACCTGGCTAATGTTTGTATTTTTAGTAGAGGTGGGTGGTAGCCAGGCTGGTCTTGAACTCCTGACCTCAAGTGATCTGCCCACCTCAGCCTCCCAAAGTGTTTCGATTACAAGTGGGAGCCACCACACCCAGCTTTTTTTTTCTTCAGATGGAGCTTCACTCTTGTTGCCCAGGCTGGAATGCAATGGTACAATCTCAGCTCACTGCAAACTCCACCTCTCAGGTTCAAGTGATTGTCCGGCCTTACCCTCCATAGTAGCTGTGATTAGAGGCATGTGCCACTACCCAGCTTTTTTTGTTTTGTTTTGTATTTTTTTTAATGGAGATAGGGTTTTGCCATGCTGGCCAGGCTGGTCTTGAACTCCTGACCTTACATGATCTGCCTGTCTCAGCGTTGCAAAGTGGTGGGATCACACGCGTGAGCCACCATGCCCGGCCAGCCTGTGCTATTTCTGTCACAGCATCTATAGCTTTATATTGTCTCCTTCCTTTCTTGGTCTGTCTCCCTAAAGCGACTAAACTATTTAAGGGTAAGGACTGAGTCATATTTCTAGACGGTGTCTGGCACATAGCAGGTGTTCAATAAATGTTTGCTGAATGATGAAAATGAGGACTGTAACTTTGCAGTAAGTTTTCCTGTACTTGGAGCACATTACAGCTCACAGTAATAAGATCGTCACCATAAAACTTTCCTTGCAGGCCCCACACCCAGCATTCTATAATCTCCAGTCTACTCTTAGGATGACTCTACTCTGCACAGCATGAAGAGGACCTAAGGATATTGTGACCTGTTCTCATTAATGTAGACCAAACAAATTTAGATTAATTCAGGTTCTAAAATGGACTTCTTTGAACTATCTGATTTAGCTGTGGGTATAATCTGAATTAATGAAGATAATTTTATACCTTTTCTTTGGATTTGACTGGTAGGTCTTGCTTAATTTATGGACTAATAAAAAAAAGATTTGCCTATTGCTCAAACTTGGAATGAAAGAAGAAGGCAGTTGAGATGTGTGGACTCTAAAAATGGCTTCTTCCTAGTTTAATTAATAACTGCATTTGCTGTTCAAATAGGCTGGGAAATATGATCGCTGCTCTTAGCCACGAGGTGGATCACAGCCACAATATAGGCTGTGAGCTATCCATAACTGCTGCTCTTGAGTTACAGGATAGGAACTATTCACCACTCCGTTCACTAAAGAGATTAACAGCCCATTGCCCTGGTTCTCTACCATGGGTTTTGTCAGTTTTTGTCAGCTGCAGTCCTAAAAAATTAGGTGCACAAATGGGCCCCAACATCAACTAAGGGAAGATCAGTCTTTCCCACCTCTCTCTCATTGTATTATTGTGACCAGTAATCATCATCTACTATGAATGAATAAGGTAAGTAAATGTACTCTCAAGGACAGCTGAACATAAGGTACAAATAAAGCAGGTTACCTAGAGTCACAGCTCCGACAACAAATCCTTGGGCAGCAACTCTCATGTGAATAAGATGAAGTGACATTTTCTGATCTCTTCTATACTTTAATTTGTAAAGACCATAGGACACCACAGTCACAAAACCTGCTATACCTGTGAATTGTAAAACTATAGGTTATTTGGAAGGCTGAGGCAGGAGCATCGCTTGAGACCAGGAGTTTGAGAACAGCCTGGGCAACACAGCAAGACCCTCATCCCTACAAAAAATAAAAAATTAGCCAGGCACAGTGATGCACACCTGTAGTCCCAGCTACTCAGGAGGTTGAGGCAGGAGGATCCCGTGAGCCCAGGAATTCAAGGCTTCAGTGAGCTATGATTGCACCACTGTGCTCCAGCCTGGGAAACATATATATATATATATATATGTATATATATGTTTCAAAGAACCAAGCTGGATTTGATCTACCAGATTTTAAAATGAGCCCTTAATATTCTTGGGTCCAATATTTGCAGTTTTGACTCTTCCCAGAAAAATTAGAACCATATAGTATAGTGACTTGTCTAGCCATATGTGATTTCCTGAGGAATAATTTCAAATTGTGTGTACTACAAGTTTATTATCTGTGGCAAGTCACTTAGCCAGCAAGGGAACTAACCCAAACATCTCAGTACCCACAGCTTTTGAGTGTTTGGCTTTTACTCTTCATTTCCTGTTACCAAATAAGGAGTAAATCAATAGAGATAAACAAATTTGTTGTTCTGTATAAAGTGAAACAATACACTTTAGTGAGAGGTATGAATATATGCACAAGAAGCATAACTCTGGCAAGAACTGTGATTCTAGAAGAGTTCAGAAGCCTGTACAAATATTTTGTATTTTCTGCAAATGTCAAGGGGTGAATATACTGCTGTGACAACCACGATTCTATGTCACTGGCTCTAAAAGAAAGAACATCAACTAAATAAGAAAGATTCTAGAAAAAGATTTAAAACACTGAGAACTGAATCCATGACAAAATAAAAATAGCCAAATAACAGATACTGGGCCAGGTGTGGTGGCTCATGTCTATAATCCCAGCACTTTGGGAGGCCGAGGTGGGTAGATCACTCGAGGTCAGGAGTTTTAGACCAGCCTGGCCAACATGGTGAAACCCCGTCTCCACTAAAAATACAACAAAATTGGCCAGGCATGCTGGTACACACCTGTAATCCCAACTACTTGGGAGGCTGAGGCAGGAGAATCACTTGAACCTGGGAGGTGGAGGTTGCAGTGAGCTGAGATCGTGGCATTGCACTCTAGCCTGGGCGACAGAGCAAGACTTCGTCTCAAAACAACAAATGAACAAACCAACAGAAAAACCCACCAGATAGTGGAATAATTTAATAAATGCCATAAGTACAACCTGTTGGTATAGAGAAGAACTAACTTGGATTTGTATTTCACATCAGACCCTGAAAAAAAATTTTTTTTGGATAAGTAAGAGTTAAATGCAAACACAATTTTTATCTCTTGACACCTGTGAGCGGCCATCTTGCTCCTGCCCTGACAGATTCTCCTGTCAGGGGTCACAGGAACGCAAAGATTGCTGTCTGGATCTTTGCTGACCATGCTGTCCCGGGTGGTACTTTCTTCTGCTGCCACAGCGGCCCCCTCTCTGAAGAATGCAGCCTTCCTAGGTCCAGGGGTATTGCAAGCAACAAGGACCTTTCACACAGGGCAGCCACACCTTGCCCCTGTACCACCTCTTCCTGAATATGGAGGAAAAGTTCGTCATGGACTGATCCCTGAGGAATTCTTTCAGTATCCTTATCCTAAAACTGGTGTAACAGGCCCTATATGCTTGGAACTGGGCTTATCTTGTATGCTTTATCCAGAGAAATATATGTGATTACTGGAGAGACCATCACTGGCCTAGCAGTAATAGGGTTATATATCTTTGGAGTTAAAAAATGTGGTCCTCCTGTTGCAGCATTTGCTGATAAACTCAATGAGCAAAACCTTGCCCAACTGGAAGAGGCAAAGCAGGCTTCTTGCCCAACTGGAAGAGGCAAAGCAGGCTTCCATCAAACAAATCCAGGATACAGTTGATGCAGAGAAGGCACAGCAGGCACTGGTTCAGAAGCGCCATTACCTTTTTGATGTGCAGAGGAATAACATTGCTCTGGCTTTGGAGGTTACTTACTGGGAACGACTGCATAGGGTATATAAGGAAGTAAAGAATCGTCTGGACTATCAAATATCTGTGCAGAACATGATGCGTCAAAAGGAACAAGAGCACATGATAAATTGGGTGGAGAAGCACGTGGTGCGGAGCATCTCTGCACAGCAGGAGAAGGAGACAATTGCCAAGTGCATTGCTGGCAAAGAAGCTGGTGGCAAAGAAGGCTCAAGCCAGTTATGTAAATGTATTTATTCCAATTGAGACAGCTAGAAAGTTGACTGACTAAATGGAAACGACTTTATTTGACAAAATCTTTCTGTATTGATGTCTACTGAAGTTATGGTTTACCTCTTCTAAAAATGAAAAGTTTGTTTTAAATAGTGAGAGAATGAAATCTCTATCTTCCAGTCAATTATTTCTCATCCTTCTTACTCTGCATTTGAGTTATTCTGTGATCACGTCTGTATAAGCAGTTTGCCTTTATAAAAACTTGCTGCCTGACTAAAGATTACCACATTATAGTTTAAATTTGTAATTAGTTCTACCATCTTGCAATAAAGTGAGGTTTTTCAAGTTGTATAAGTCTCTGAAATACTCAGCTTTTGTCATATAGGTCAAAATTAAAGATGTCATTGAACTACTGTCTTGTTTATGAGACTATCCAGTGGTGAATTATTTCTGGCTGATATATATAAAGTTTTGCAGTACTCTTAAAATAACCAAATGGAATATTGTATATTAAAAAAAAGTTAAATGCAAAACAAAACAAAAATATAACAGGAACAAAAACTGAAGAAAATAAAATAGCATATTTATAACATCTATAAGAGGGCATGGTAGACGTAATAGAATATGACAATGAGAAAACATTTGCATAGTAAACATACGAGTCTGTTTTTTTCTTTGGAGACAGAGTCTCATTCTCTTGCTGGAATGCAGTGGCGCAATCTCAGCTCACTGCAACCTCCACCTCCCAGGTTCAAGTGATTCTCGTGCCTCACCCTCCCTAGTAGCTGGGATTACAGACATGCATCACCACACCTGGCTAACTTGTATTTTTAGTAGAGATGGGTCTCGATATGTTGGCCAGGCTGCCTTGAACTCCTGGCTCCAAGTGACCTGCCCGCCACAGCCTCCTGAAATGCTGGGATTATAAGCGTGAGCCACTGTGCCCAGCCTTTGGATTCTCTATTCTGTCCCATTGATCTATGCATCTGACCTTCCATCAGTACCACACCATGTTGATTACTGTAGCAATATAGTAAGCCTTAATATCGGCCAGAGTGATTCTTTCTACTTTATCTTTTTTTAAAAAAGATTATTTTAGCTTTTCTAGGACTTGTGCCTTTCCCTATAAGTTTTAGAGTAAGTTTGGTTATATCTACAAAAACCCTTGCTGGGGTTTTGACAGGAATGACATTAAGCCTATAGATCAATTTGCAGAGAATCGACGTCTTTACTAATATACTGTGCCTTCCAATTCATGAACACAGGGTCAGACGTGGTAACTCACACCTGTAATGCATGCACTTTGGGAGGCTAAGGCAGGTGTATCACTTAAGGTCAGGAGTTTGGGACCAGCCTGGCTAAAATGGTGAAACCCTGCTTCTACTGAACAAACACACACACACACCCTCAAATTCATGAACATAGTAGTCTCTCCTTTTTTTTTTTTTTTTTTTTGAGACAGAATCTCGCTCTGTTGTCCAGGGTGGAGTGCAGTGGTGTGATCTCAGCTCACTGCAGCCTCCACCTCTTGAGTTCAAGTGATTCTCATGCCTCAGTCTCCTGAGTAGTTGAGATCACAGGTGTGTGCCACCACGCCTGGCTAATGTTTGTATTTTTAGTAGAGACGGGATGTCACCATCTTGGCCAGGCTGGTCTTGAAACTCCCGATTTCAAGTGATCCACCCGCCTTTGCCTCCTAAAATGCTGAGATTACAGGCATGAGCCACCTTGCCCAGCCTACCAAATTTTATTATTATTTATTTATTAGCAAAAGCTGGGCTCTCTTCCCTTAATCAAATCAGAGTTGTTTTTATTTAAATTGATTTTGTTTCTTTTCAAGATTAAAGTCAGAACCTTTACTGTTTTCCATATAGTGTCTCTAGTTTGTTTATAATTGAATTTAGCTGGAAACTCTTATCCTTTCACTTTAATCACCCTTAATGTCTCTGGAAAAATAATTTAATGTACAACAGGCACAGTGATTAATCTCTGTTCATTATAGTGATCTGTTCACGTAGCCTTGTGTTTTTGAATTGTTTTTCTAGTTAAAAATGCTAAGGAAGATAAATCACTATTAAATTATTTGCTTCCATTTCTTATGGGTGCTATTACAAGTCTTAAATGAAACTTCTAAACAATATTACTGTAAAGTAAAATTTGATTCTTTTTTGACGTGTGAATAATGACACTTAGAAAGTAGCTAGAGTCACAGTAACACTTGATGGGAACATCTGGCATACCTATTTAGAAGTTTTTATGGAATTAATATTTTTGCAAACTTAGTCTGATTTAAGTAAATTATTTTAATAGTTTTCAGACAAAATGAACACAAGGAAACAGGCATGGCTGAAGTATACATCCATGGAGAAGAAAGCAAGAGCTCAGACTTTAAAACATAATATTGCTGCTTAGGTTTTGTGGCATTTTTTAAGTCCACATACATAGAGTACTTGTTGAAAACATAAATATACTAAATATGTGTGGGGAAAGCATAAAGAAGCTAAGGCATAGATCATTAAGTGATCAAATTATAGTACCTCTCTTTTTTATTTTGAGACAGTTTTGCTCTGCACCCAGGCTAGAGTGCAGTAGCGTGATCTCGGCTCACTGCAACCTCCTCCTCCTGGGTTCAAGTGATTCTGGTGCCTCAGCCTCCTGAGTAGCTGGGATTACGGGCACATGCCACCATACCTGGCTAATTTTTTGTATTTTTAGTAGAGATTGGGTTTTACCATGTCGGCCAGGCTGGTCTCAAACTTCTGACCTCAAGCTATCTACCCACCTCAGCCTCCCAAAGTGCTGAGATACAGGCATGAGCCACCTTGCCCAGCCTAATTATAGTATCACTGTTTTAGTCTAGAATTTATTTTGCCATCAAACTCAACACCTGGAGCACACCAGGAAGCCAGCATAGAGAGCCACTGAGCAGCTAAAATGACCTCTATGAAGTTCATGCTCACAAGTGTTCAGATAGGTCCAGGCTTTTACTCAGAGCTTTCCTCTGAATTGACCCACAGTTCTTTCAAGCTTGAATATATAGCTTCTGGTGCCACAGAACATTAAAAACATTAGACGCAGAAGTTTTGGTTTTTTTGTTTGTTTGTGAGACAGGGCCTCACTATGCCACCCATGCTGAAGTGCAGTGGTGTGATCTTGGTTTACTGCAACCTGTACTCCCGAGCTCAAGCAATCCTCCCACCTCGGCCTCCCAAAGTGCTGGGATTACAGGCATGAGCCACCATGCCTGGCCTAGAAGCAGAAGTTTGTTTGTTTGTTTGTTTTGGAGACAGAGTTTTGCTCTTGATACCCAGGCCGGAGTGCAATGGCACGATCTCGGCTCACTGCAACCTCCGCCTCCTGGGTTCAGGCAATTCTCCTGCCTCAGCCTCCTGAGTAGCTGGGATTACAGGCATGAGCCACCATGCCCAGCTAATTTTTTGTATTTTTAGTAGAGACGGGGTTTCACCATGTTGACCAGGATGGTCTCGATCTCTTGACCTCATGATCCACCCCCCTCGGCCTCCCAAAGTGCTGGGATTACAGGCGTGAGCCACCACTCCCGGCTGAAGCAGAAGTTTTTGATGTGCCCAATAGGAAGAAAGAAACAGGAAAATCTATAAACAGAAGACATAAGAACTTAAAGTTTAGACTACTTACAAGACAAGGAGACATATGCATCTCAATGGTCCCTAACAGATTTTAAATATAATAAACTGATGCTGCTGTTGACAGTCCTGAGTTATGACTGAAACGTTAATGTTCATTCAGTCTATTCCATCTGACTGATTAGGAATTGATAATTTTAGGTAGACTTCTAAAAATATGGATAAAGTAGAATAAAATTTGATACCTCAAATAACACTTAATATTTACTGGGGGCTTACCATGTACTAGAAATTATTCTGAAAGTTCAACACGTTTAGAGGAGGTTAGCTTCAATGATCTGGAAAAATTCAATTATATGAGACATTTCAGTCCTCAGAGGTACTGGGTAAGGCATCATCATGTTATTACAGTTTTCCAGCATCCTGTCAAAGCTTGCACTTACCTATAGGGACAAAGGGGGAGTCTCTAGATTTCCTGATTAGTCGGGATAATTGGCTTTCATCCTCATCTGTTGACCACGGGTTATCTGAAGACATTCTTTTCTGTAGTAACAATAGGATATAAATGTGGTTGCCGTGAATCATTAAAAATAATTTGTCTTCCCTCTCCCATCACACTCTCGATTATGTGTTCTTTGTCTTCATTTGTTTGATAAGCCCATCTGCTCAACTGAAAAAAGCAATTGTCTTTCCTTCACACTTTTCATTACAGAATTTTTTCATTTTGCAGGGGAAGGGAATAAGAAAAAAAATAGAGAGAAAAAATGATAATTAGATTTCGTGAATACAGAGTAAAAACACAGATCATAGTTCTGTTATTCAGTCTCCTTTCACTGCTCAGCATTTGAGATCTTTGGGAACCTCAGGACTTCTTCCACAAGCACTGTATTTGAAGAACACAGTTTCTTTTTAAACTATCATTTTAGAGAAGTATGGCAGTGCCAACATAGGGAAAAATACTTCCAGATTTACAGGTATCCGGAGAGTGATCACTCCAACTCTGCAGAATGTGCAGGGCATTATAAAGTCATTCAGATATTTACCAAGCACCTCCTGTGTGCCAGTTACTATGCTCAACAATGGATTCCTTGTCCAGCCTGGCTTATCTACATAGGATGAATGAAGAAACTTGCAAAAGCAACCATAATCACAACAGGTTTAGCAGCACCTGAGTCTGTTCCCTGTGCAACCTATTGTGTTCACCCCAGAATTCAAATACAGCGGCTTCATCCTATGAATGAGCCTTCATCAGAAAACGTAAGTGTAAAAATACCTGTGTCGTACCGGCTGTCTCCTGATGTTCCTTCAGCAAGAGGCTGTAGATCAGAACAGGTGTTTGTTGTAAGGCAGGACACAGTGATGTGCAATTTCCAACTAACTGATAATAGGAAAGCCCAGAAACACGCCCCAGGGGGCTGGGGGCGTGGTCAGCTGGTATTGGCCAAGACCGCCAGCATCCTGCCAGAAACTCACCTGGGCCACAAACTAGGCTCTCAAAGCCAACATTAAGAAAAACATGAAGGCTTTGGAAGAAGATGCCTTTACTTAAGTTTGCCTTTACAAGGGAGCTCCTGACTTCCCTCTGAGACTGTGAGTCTTAGTACCTGACTCCTGAGCCCACAATTGAGGGGAAAGAGGGCACAGGGTCACAACACTGGGCTTGGAGGGGAAGGGGAACGGACAGCCATCAGAGGCCAGGATTCTTGCCATTCTTCAGAAACGCGCGCTAGCCGGAGGAGAGGTGCACGCACTGCAGCTGGAATCTCCGACTGGGGCAATGAGAGCTCATCACCGCTCACCTGGCGGTGGGGCCGCTGCAGGTGCGCCTCCTGCAAAGCCTTGAGCTGCACGCGCACCCGGGGAAGGACGCGATGTTGTGGCACCTGCGGCCAATCCCTGCGCCTGCGCGTAAGACCTGAGTGGGGCAGTGGAGACCCGAGAGAGGCTGTGGCTCTTGAGGCGGGCGGGTGTTGGACGTGGCCTTCACTTCAGTTCTGACCTCATGGCCTTGGGGCCCCTTGAGACTCTGGAGAACGCATTGCTCACCGCCTCCCTCCAACTGCAGCCATGTGGACCTCGAGATGAGGGCGGAGGTCCAGGTAGGGTTCATGGTTTTTCCCTTGTAATTTAATGTTTAAATGATTTAGACTTACAAAAAAAGTCCCCAGAATAGTACAAAGAACTACGTGTCTGGTACCTACCTTTTCCTTTATTAACATGTTTCTTTCTTTAAAAAATAGTTTTGGCGAACCACCTGACAGTAAGCTGCAGACTATGCCTTTTCCTCCATATGCTTTTGTATGCATTTGGGACATCATTTTATTATATAACCATAGTACGGTGTTCAAAATCAGAAATATAACATTGATATCAGTTTGTTTTCCAATATAAAGATTGTATTCATATTCACCAGTTGTCCCAATAATGTCCTTAATTTAAAAAAAGTTCCTGGTCTAGCATCCACTTAGGATCATATATTGCTTTTAGTTATTCTGCCTCTTTAGTCTCCGATGTCTCCTCAATCATCTTTGTCTTTCATGACCTTGATTTTTGTTGTTGTTGTTGAGAAAGAGTTTCACTCTTGTTGCCCAGACTGGAGTGCAATGGCGCAATCTAGGCTCACCATAACCTCCATCTCCCCGGTTCAAGCAATTCTTCTGCCTCACCCTTCCAAGTAGCTGGGACTACAGGCATCTGCCACCACACCCTCACTAATTTCTTGTATTTTTAGTAACGATGGGGTTTCGCCATGTTGGTCAGGCTGGTCTCAAACTCCTGACCTCAGGTGGTCCACCCACCTTGGCGTCCCAAAGTGCTGGGATTACAGATGTGAGCCACCATGCCCAACGGACCTTGATGTTTTGCCAGTGCAGGCCAGTTATTTTGTAGGATGCCTCTCAGTCTAGTTTCCCCCCTGCCTCACTGATGTTTTCTCACTAGATTGAGGTCATACATTTTGGGCAGAATACAACAAAAGTGATACTGTGCTCTTAGTGTGAAATATCAGGAGGCACAGAAAGTCGAATTGCCTTCTGGTAAACTTTGATCCAGTGTGATGCTGATAACTATTTAACAACTGGTTCTGGAAGGGGAGATGTCGCCTTGATCTGTGGCATTTGCCGTTGCCCCATTCTGTGTCGTAAATACTCCCATCACGGCCGATTTCTAAATAGAGTCTGTCATCACGGACCACAAGGCTAGAAAATGTCCCTTTCCTGGGATGGTAGGAGTGAGCTCTAGCACACCACTGCTTGGATCATGTGGATTAGGGTGGCGTCTGCCTGGTTCTCTGCTGTAGTTACTGTTTTTTCCCCCACTTTTAATTAATAAGTAGTTTCTGAATAGGTACTTTAATATTATACAAATATCCTGTTGTTTGTCAGACTTTTATCCATTAATTTCAGTGTCCGTTGGTGATCCTTGCTTGACTCCATTAATTTTAGTTGCTAAATGGTGGTTTTTCTAAATATATCACTTTTTTTAAGGTAAATTTTTTAATCCACTTAAAAATACAAGTGCACAAATCCACATTTATTTATTGACTTTTCATTAGTTTAAATCCTTGAGGGGTAAGCATCACTCAGATTCTGTGTCCAATAGCCTTAGCAGGAAGGTTGCTTTGGAATTTAGCATGAACCGTGCCACTGTTTCCATAGGCCTTTCCCCAGATTACTCTGGTTTTGTTTGGTTTGCTGCCAGGAGTCACTGTGTTGTTCTTTGCTTTGTATACATACGCACATCTCTTGCCCCAAAAGAATTCTGTTTCATCTTGGGCATAAACACCTTCAATTTTAAGAAGAGCTGTGTGCTCCCTTAGTTTCTGAAGACCCCACTTACAGCCGGCAAAAATTGCCTTGGACCACAGCCTTCCAGACATAGTTCCTTTTAGAAGTCCTGTTTCCAGCAGGCCTCCAAGGGATCCAAGATGGCAGGAAGAGCTAAATACATCACTTAAAAAAAAAAATTTATGGCTGGGTGTGGTGGCTCACACCTGTAATCCCAGCACTTTGGGAGGCCAAGGTGTGGGGGAGGAATCACCTGAGGTCAAGAGTTTGAGATCAGCCTGGCCAACACGGTGAAACCTCGTCTCTACTAAAAATAAAACAAAAATTACCTGGGCAGGGTGTCACACATCTGTAGTCCCAGCTACTTGGGGAGGCTGAGGGAGGAGAATCGCCTGAACCCAGGAGGTAGAGTTTGCAGTGAGCCAAGATCATACCACTGCACTCCATCCTGGGTGACAGAGGGAGACTCCATCTCAGAAACAAAACCAAAATTTATTAGCAGGCATTCTAATGAGGATTCTATTTAATCATTTATTTATATCAGTTTGGACTCTTGAATTCCTATTTATTCAGTGGCTTATCCATCACTATGATTATTTATATTTTATTTTGAAATAACTGTTTTTTGCTTTATTCTATAGTTTACATAGGCCAACTTCAAACTCCATACTTGATTTTTCTCTTCTGCCTTTGTTATTTCAATATCTGTATCAGCAGAGACTGTTTCTCCCAATAGCGCATGTAGTGTGATCCTCATCTAGGACGTGTAGGCCCTCGAAAACCCTGGCCCACCAGCACTGCTACCTGGACCCTCCAATTTGACTGCTCCCACGTCTGTTTACAATGGGGCTCTGCCATGGTCCTGTCACCTGTGAGGTGTCCTTAAGGCGGGAATGCCAAGTAGGCTCCAGGTGATGTGCTAACTCTGAGTAAATAGAAGAAGCTGCTTGGAGCCCAGAGATGAGGGTTCTGAGGCAGACTGTGTGTGGGTTGCATTACAAAGAAGACTGTGATCCATTAGCCATACCTGGCCTGGCAATGCACGTTAGAAGTGTCTGGAAGTAGGGTTTTGGGGGAATGGGCTCAGAAAGGGGCAAGATTTATGTTCTATTCCTGCCTTGGGTGGTGGCTTGGTTCAGCTACCCAGGCTGTGTTGTCTCACTGCCCACGCCTGAATCCCAGCACTTTGGGAGGCTGAGGCAGGCCGATCACCTGAGGCCAGGAGTTCGAGACCAACCTGACCAACATGGTTAAACCCTGTCTCTACTAAAAATACAAAAATTAGCTGGGTGAGGTGGAACATGCCTGTAATCCCAGCTACTCAGGAGGTTGAGGCAAGAGAATCTATTGAACCTGGGAGGTGGGGATTGCAGTGAGCTGAGATGGCATCACTACTCTCAAGCCTTGGTGACAGAGCAAGACTCCATCTAAAAAAAAAAAAAAAAAAAGGCATTCAAAGAATAATGGGACATGTCAATATACAAGAGGAGCCAGCTTAAAGGGGCTTCCAGTAGTGAAATCTGGGACAATTTGATCATTAGCATAAATAATCAGGGCAGTCTACCTACTAAACTACAGGCGGGTGCCATGTCAGCCGATAAGCATGTCCAGAAGGGACCCCCTTAGTTGAAAGGCATCTCAGACCTCAGTGTGACAAAGCAGAGGAAGAAAAAGAAGGACAAGGACAAGGCAAAATTCCTGAAAGCCATGGCAATGAGCCAAAAATCAAGGGGGAGAAGCAGCACAGCCTGGGCAAGTGGGCCCCAGCCCAAATGGCCTTAGAAAGATGCAAGAGAGGCTGGGCACAGTGGCTCACACCTGTAATCCCAGCACTTTGGGAGGCCGAGGCAGGAAGATCACGAGGTCAGGAGATCGAGACCTTCCTGGCTAACGCAGTGAAACTCCTCCTCTACTAAAAATACAAAAGTTAGCTGGGTGTGGTGGTGCATGCCTGTAGTTCCAGCTATTTGGAAGGCTGAGGCAGGAGAATCACATGAACCCGGGAGGCAGAGGTTGCAGTGAGCCGAGATCGTGCCACTGCCCTCCAGCCTGGTGACAGAGGAAGATTCTGTCTCAAGAAAAAAAAAAGAAAGAAAGAAAGATGTCCTAGGGATCTTGTCCTCCTTCTCTGTTATAGCTGCATAGTCCTCCACTGTGTGAGTGTAACATGGTTGAAGTGCTCTCCTAGCTGTGAGTGAGCATGTAGGCTGGAGACATTACAGCAAACAATGTTGCAATGAATCACCCTGCGCATATGTGTTTTCATATTTTTGAAGGTATATTTTCAGGGTAAATTCCCAGAAGTGGAATTGCTGAGTCAAAGGAAAATTAAAGTTTAGTTTTGTTAGATATTGCCAAATTTCCCTGCGAGGGTTGAATGTATTGGCATTCCCACCAGCAATAGACAGAAGTGACTCTTTCTCCACTGCCTGCCCAGCGCAATGTGTGGTCAGACTTTTGAAGTTTTCACCAATCTGATGTGTGAGAAATGGTACCTTACAGCAGTTTTGATGAGCATTTCTTGTATTGTGAGTGAAATTGAACATATTTTCATATGTTTAATGGTCATTTTGCATATTCAAAAACTTATTTGTTGGGTTTCACAATTTTAAAGTTTCAAAGAGATCGGGGAGGATTAGAAGACATGGCTGAAGTCATCAAAGGATTCTGAGTCAAGCAATCATGTAGGGAAGGCTCCAGAAATAGAAATGACAATTTTAGCATGGGGAGATGTGTCAGAGACAAATGTGAGCTCTTCTACAAATGCAGCCTGATTTTCTTTTTGAAACTTGAGTGTACAGACTGTATTCTGTTCCCTTGTATTCCTCATTCAGTTCTTCCTGCAACTATTCTGCCATTTGACACTGTTCTCATCTTGTCTTCCTTATATATTTATTTGAGATGGAGTCTTACTTGTTGCCCAGGCTGCAGTTTAGTGCTCACTGCAATCTTGGCCTCTTGGGTTCACGTGATTCTCCTGCCTCAGCCTCCCAAGTAGCTGAGATTACAGGTGCCCACCACCATGCTCAGTTCATCTTGTCTATTTTAGACCAGCTTGATGCCTCACTGGAGGTTTCATTATCTTTTATGTATTTGCCAGTTTAGCCGATGTGGCAGGCAGAGCCAAACGATTATTTTAATGGCTGACCAAAAAAAAAAAAAAAAAAAAGATGCATTAAAATGTCTTGTATTTATATTTTGAAACATTTGATTCCTAAGTGTTCTAATATTTGTTTCTTCTGAATTCCTATTTTAAACTTGAATAGAAAGTGAAGCAAACATTATGTTATAGTTGCTACCTAATAGAGCAACAGGGAGGGCAGACAGGACCCTAGAGATTGTCTGGCCCCTGGCAACATTATTTGAGCTCTGCTCAGGCTGTGCCTGAGGCTTTCTGCCCCTATGATTTTCCCTGATTTGGGTTGATGGAGTCCTTTTTCTGCTTAAGCCTGTTTGGATTGGGATTCTGTCACTTAGGATCAAAGGATTCTTAACTAATATAGGATCTAAAAGACATTGGACATGTTTTGCCTTTTTTTCTTCTCCCTTTTTCACAGGCTGATATCGTTTCCTCAAGCTCTTTAAATGATTATAAATGTGTGTTCTCTGGGCCCAAGGAGGGAAGCGGTAACAAGGTGTCAGGGCAGTGATTATGAAAGGCGGTTCCTGGTCTGTGGAGTCAGGGCTTCTAGGACTTGCTCAGTTACTTGTGGAATGACTGTAAGAAACTTCATTTACTTACTTTTCTACACCTCAGTTTTGCCTGTGAAAAGTGAGGATGATATTTGCCACACCACTTAGACAAGAGGGAATTGATAAGGCTGAGCCTAGGACTTTGCACTTCGGTATTATCTTTCAATGTCATGGCATCTCACCATTTCAACCTGTGGCTTTTCGTATTTCTCAGTCACTAGACTGACCTAACCAACAGTGAGATGGGTAGATTAAGGAGGTTCCTATTCAGGGAAGACGGCAGAGGGAGGAGATTCATGTTCCAGAGAGTAGGGAGCATTAGATGTGCATTGAGCCTCACTGCATCCTTTTCGTGTCCAAGAGGTACTTAAAATAGTAAGTTTCCTTTCTTTCTGCTCTGTGGATTTCACAAATGGGATCTTTAAACTTGAACTTTTTTGCTTTTTTAAGGTAGCCAAACATGATCACATTGTTGAACTTTTGAACTTTTCAAAACCCATTCTGATACTTCCAAGATTGCTTTGTCTCAAATCCATTATCTGTGTTTATCGTTGCCTGGCTGTCGAAAGAAAAATCTCTATGTTTAAAAAACTAAAATTTTCACAATGAAGGAAAATCCTCCCAGAGACATTAAGAAAAAGGAAACCAAGCCAGCAGAGATAGAAACCATATTTCTGTTCCTGACATGAATGTGAATTTATTGGTTGGTTTCATACTTAAAATAGTACTTTTGCAAAATCATCTCAGAAAATATACTACATTTATTAAAACTCATACAAACCATTGCAGAAAATATTAAACCCTCTAACCAACCTAACACTTGCTTTCAGAGGCACTTGTGATGATTTTCACAGCTTCCATAGTTGCAAAGAAGAAAGAAATCATCTTGGAACAGGGGTGGAATTTGATGAGAATAATCCAAAAACTATTTGTTTACTTCTTTACAGACTCACAGACTGCTTGATGATTAGGGGCTCCTACATAGCACACCTAATTATTAAAGCTTTTTCTAATAATGGGCTTTTTCATTGCCTACAATCTACTATATTCAGCAAAGTTTGTGCTAGATAATAAGGAAAATGAACCCAAGAATCTTAACCGCCTCAAATAGTTTTATGGATATACTAAAGTGTCAAGTACAATCTTTATCTTAAGGCTTGAGAACTGGAATGCAAGAAAACAAACTTTGGTGGAGTACTGGAATAAGACATAAAGCTGGGCAGCACCAGGTGTGACAGCCTTGGATGTTAATCCTGAAAGCCAGAATTAAGAACAACAAATAGGTTCAGATTTCTTTTTCAGAAACTTGCGCTATTTTGGCCAGGCACAGTCTCATGCCTGTAATCCCAGCAATTTGAGAGGTGATGGTGAGAGAATCACTTGAGCCCAGGAGTTCAAGACCAGCCTAGGCAACATAGTGAGACCCTGTCTCTATACGTTGTTGTTGTTAGTATTGTTTGTTTGAGACGAAGTCTTGCCCTTGTTGCACAGGCTGGAGTGCAATGGCACCCGGTTCAAAAGATTCTCCACCTCAGCCTCCCCAGTAGCTGGGAATACAGGCACCCGTCAACATGCCCAGCTAATTTTTTTTTTGTATTTTTAATTGAGATGGAGTTTCACCATGTTGGCCAGGCTGGTCTCCTGACCTCGTGATCTTCCTGCCTCAGCCTCCCAAAGTGCTGGGATTACAGGTGTGAGCCGCTGCGCCTGGCACCCTGTCTCTGTTTTTAAAACACAATTTAAAAGCAAAAAGAAAAGAAACTCTGTGCTGTTTAGACTTAGATTTTTAATTAGCTAGTATTTCTTAATTCAATGAATTATTAAGACCTTTTCACTGCTCCCTTTTTGAAGTCTTCTTTGAGTGATTTAACTGCTTCTTATCACCAAGCTCTCAAAGAGAAGATGAAATTAAAATCTGATGGGTAACCATTTAAATAAGACAACTGGGGAGGCCCATTTCTCCAGGACTCTTCTCTATAGCAGAGAGCTATTCTCTTTCTTTTGCCTAGTAAACTTCTGCTCTAGGCTTAAAAAAAAAAAAGAGGCAATTTGAAAAAAATTTGAAGTCGATGAATAAACTAAGATTTGGGGATGATAGTAGATGTTAATTATGAAAGTTCAGTGTTTCCTTTGAAGAGGGAGTTCAAACTGGTTTTTTTGATGTGAATTCTTTGGGAGATGATAGAAAATAGGATATAACAGAAACTTTTAAGGATGGAATTCAACTTTACCTAAAAAAGATTTCAGGCCAGGCACGGTGGCTCATGCTGGGAGGCCCAGGCAGGCAGATCACCTGAGGTTGGGAGTTCATGACCAGCTTGACCAACATGAAGAAACCCTGTCTCTACTAAAAATACAAAATTAGCCAGGTGTGGTGGTCCATGCCTGCAATCCCAGCTACTTGGGAGGCTGAGGCAGGGGAATTGCTTGAACCTGGGAGCAGAGGTTATGGTGAGCCAAGATTGCGCCACTGCACTCCAGCCTGGGCAACGAGCAAAAACTCCATCTCAAAAATAAAAAACAAAACAAAACAAAAAAAGGTTTCTCTTCTCCCATGTAGCATTTTAAATGTAAAACCGAGACTTTAAATTCTTTGAGCCATTCAGCTCTTTACTGCCAGCTCACACTATTTCACAGCATATCCATAGACATGAGGGCGCACCAACTCCCAGGGCAGGGGGGCCTGGATGTGCTGCAGCTTCAGCTTAGAGAAGTTGGCTCGCTCCAGGGCCTTCCAGCTCTCTCTCGTCAGATTGCACCCATCAAACAGAAGGTACCAGGCAGGATCCAGGACCTGTTGCCAGAAAGAATTCCAAGTCGAACGCTCAGCTGCCACATGCTCCATGAAATAAAAAGCCCCTCCCTGAGGAGAAAGAAGAAAAAAAAAAACCACATTTCAAAGATGTTTTTCATTTCTGCCTTTTTTTTTTTTTAATTGTTCCCTGGCACTGCCTTGCAAACCTTTGAGAGAACCATAGAATTCTGAGCAGGAGACTCACTCCACACTAAGCACACCCTTGAGACTAAATAACCGTGTTTGTTTGTTTGTTGTTTTGAGACAGTTTTGCTGCTGCTGCCCAGGCTGAGTGCAATGGCACGATCTCGGCTCACCACAACCTCTGCCTCCTGGGTTCAAGCGATTCTCCTGCCTCAGCCTCCCGAGTAGCTGGGGTTACAGGCTTGTGTCACCACACCTGGCTAACTTTGTATGTTTACAAAATTAGGATTTCTCCATGTGGGTCAGGTTGGTCTCAAACTACTGACATCAGGTGATCCGCCTGCCTCGACCTCCCAAAGTGCTGGGATTACAGGCGTGAGCCACCACACCCAGTTTTAACCATGTTTTTAACTTCCGTATCATTTTCACAAATAAGTACATGATATGATTAATGAAAATACAGATACATCTAAAATCATTATTGAATTCAAGGTAACATTTTCTCATTAGGTAATCATTCAGTGATGCTAAATGTAAATGACTGCTCGTTAGAATTAGCAACTGCTGCTTTCATCAAGATGTCCTATAGATTGGTCACGTAAGGCCAGGTGCAGTGGCTCCCGCCTGTAATCCCAGCCCTTTGGGAGGCTGAGGCAGGTGGATCGCCTGAGGTCAGGAGTTCAAGGCCAACCTGGCCAACATGGTGAAACCCTGTCTCTACTAAAAATATAAAGCAATAGCCAGGCATGGTAGCATATGCCTATAATCTCAGCTACTCGAGAGACTGATGTAGGGGAATTGCTTGAACCAGGGAGGTGGAGATTGCAGTGAGCCGAGATCTCACCAGTACACTCCAGCCTGGGCAACAGAGCAAGACCCTGTCTCAAAAAAAAAAAAAAAAAAGAAAAAATGTAATAAACTTCCCTTATTATATCCAGCAGAGAGTGGGCACTTAGCAGAAGCTAAGGAAGACTATCAAGAAAGTGATACCTTTAAGAGTTGAATTGATTTTTGGCACTGTAAACTGAGATAATAATTACCTTCCTTGCAGGGGTGTTGTGAGATTAGTAATGCTGTAAGCAAAACATCTACTAATGTGCCAGTTAGTGCCCAGTCTTAGGACATAAGAACCCAGCATTGGGGTATAAGAATCAGTCCTTCTTTATTTACTACTCTGATATTGAGCCGAAGACAGGATGGTATGATTGTCTCTAAACTCTATCTCCAAGTTCTTTTCTTCCTGAGGAACTTCCTCTATTAGAAAATAAAACTGAGGGTCGGGTGTGGTAGCTCACACCTGTAATCCCAACACTTTGGGAGGCCAAAGCAGGAAGACCACCTGAGCCCAGGAGTTTGAGACCAGCCTGGGCAACATGGCAAAACTTTGTATTTACAAAAATACAAAAACTAGCTGGGTGTGGTGGTGCACACCTGTAGTCCCAGCTACTGGGAGGGTGGGGAGGCTGAGAGCTTGAGCCCAGGAGGTGAAGGCTTCAGTGAGCCGTGATCGTGCCACTGCACTCCAGCCTGGACAAGAGAGGGAGACTATGTCTCAGTAAAAAATAGACAAAACTGGGGATTACAGAACATGTCTTTCTCCAAGAATAGTAAATTCAAATGTTAACATATCCATTTATTTAACTTTGTTCAGAATATAAAATGAGTTTAAACTAGCTAAAAATAATAAGGGTAATATGTGAAAACTACATACAGGTTTAAAGAATTATAGAGTTTACAGAAAAGTTTAAAATGAAAAGTAATTCTTTCCCTGAATCCAACCTCATTCCCAAGTGGTATCCACTGTTAATAGTTACTTGTCTAGGCTGGGCACAGTGGCTCACATCTGTAATCCCAGCACTTTGGGAGGCTGAAGTGGGCAGATCACCTGAGGTAGGAGTTCAAGACCAGCCTGACCAACATGGAGAAACTGTGTCTACTAAAAAAAAAAACAAAACAAAAAAAAACAAAATTAGCCAGGCGTGGTGGGGCATGCCTGTAATCCCAGCTACTTGGGAGGCTGAGGCAGGAGAATTGCTTGAAACCGGGAGGGGGAGGTTGCCCTGAGCTGAGGTCATGCCATTGCACTTCAGCCTGGGCTACAAGAGGGAAACTCCGTCTCAAAAAAAAGTTACTTGTCTATTGTTCCCATTAACATACACACATAGATGTATGTCCTCTCTCGCCCTTACACAATGGGCACGCAGTGGGCCTACGCTCTACCTAACATTCTGTGCCTTGATTGCTTTTTGTTCTCATTAGACGTTATCCCTTGGGGATTTTTAAATATCAGCACAGATAACTCTTCTTGTTCTTTCTAACAGCTGCACGGTGTTCCTTTGTACAATGTGACAACTCACTTACACAGCATCCTATTGATATTTAGGTTATTTCCAGTTTGTGCTATTACAAATACTACTTAATAAATATTCTTGTGTATGGACAAGTTTTTGCATGTAGGATAAATTCCCACTGGATAAAAGAGTATGTGTGCTTTAAATTTTGAGGTTATCAGATATCATCCAAAGAGGGTACCTCTTCTAATGGGTATGGTGGTATCCAGTCCCCCAAACCCACCCCAGCACTATCCTGACCTTAAAAGAAGTCCCTAACTGTATAATAGGTAAAATTAGTATCTTTAATTAGCTCTTTAATTGTAAGTTTGAGCATTTTTTGTAATACAATTGGTTTATATTTCTGTTCTTGTTATTTGCCCTTACTGATCATGTTGACACCTAATGTCTTTTAACATGAGGGAAGTTAACTCTTTGTCATCCCTGGAAAATACTTTTTCTAAGCTTGTTTTGTACTTTGTTTTAGGAGTTTTTCCTTTTTTTTTTTTTTTTTATATGGAGTCTCACTCTCTGACCCAGGCTAGAGTGCGGTGGTGTAATCTTGGCTTACTGTGACCTCCGCCTCCCAGGTTCAAGAGATTCTCCTGCCTCAGCCACCCAAGTTGTGGGATTACAGGTGCCTGCCACCATGCCTGGCTAAGTTTTGTATTTATAGTAGAGATGGGGTTTCACCATGTTGGCCAGGCTGGTTTCAAACTCCTGACCTCAAGCAATCTGGCTGCCTTGGCCTCCCAAAATGCTGGGATTACAGATGTGAGCCTCTGTGCCCTGCCAGGAGTTTTTTTCTTTATATTAAGTTTTTATATTCAGATTTATTAATTGTTCTCTTTATCGCTTCTCTCCCACTCTAAAAAAATTTCAACAGTCTTTTCTGGGAGTTTACTTTTGTGTGTGTGTGTGTGTGTGTGTGTGTGTATGTGTGTATGTGAAACGGAGTCTCACTTGTCACCCAGGCTGGAGTGCAATGGTGTAGTCTCGGCTCATTGCAACCTCTGCCTCCCAGGTTCAAGCAATTCTCCTGCCTCAGCCTCCTGAGTAGCTGGGACTACAGGGGTGTGCCACCACACCCGGCTAATTTTTGTATTTTTAGTAGAGACAGGGTTTCACTATGTTGCACAGGCTGGTCTCAACCTCCTGACCTTGTGATTCACCCACCTTGGCTTCTCAAAGTGCTGGGTTACAGGCATGAGCCACTGCTCCTGGTGCAGTGAGCCGAGATCGCGCCGCTGCACTCCAGCCTGGGCAACAACAACAACAAAAAAGTTTCAGCCACCTGAAATTGACAGGACTGCCCGCTGTGATAATGGCTGCTACTAATCAGTCCTCCGCACACTCTTTCACTCACCGATCTCAGCACTCTGCGCACCTCACGGAGAATCTGCTCCTGGTTCTCCACAGAGCACAGCACCAGGGTGCAGACCACCACGTCCATAGAGCCATCGGCCACCTGGTGCATGTTCTCCCCGGCAGCTACCACAAAGCGCTCAAACTGCAGGTGACGGTTCTCAGCAATGCTCTTGATCAAAAACTTCTCAAAGTTGGGATTGGGGTCAATACAGGTCACCCTGCACCCAGGTGGGTAGAATTTGAAGTTGGTCCCGGTGCCACAGCCCACCTCCAGCAGGGAGAGCTTCCCAGAGGGGCCCGCAAACTCCTGCAGGTTGCTGAAGAGCTCCCGCTTCTTGCTTGCCATCTGTTCATTGTACATCACAGAGAACCTCATCAAGAAGTAGGGGAACCATTTTTTGCACATCCAGCTCCACAAGCCCAGAAAGTTCAGCAGGTACATGGGAAATGCCAGGATGTAGACGGCCAGTCGCAGGATAAAGATGGTAAGCTCCATTGCTCAGAAGCGGAGGAAAAAAAAAAAACGCAACAGATCAACAATTAGAGACCCGGCTCCTTTAATTGCGGGAGAGAGGCTTCTGGCCACACTCCAGAGCCAATCAGCTGCAGAGGGAAAAAAGAACTGGCTGTGCTGCAAAGTCAAATCGTGGGCAAGAGGCCCATTTTGCCTAATTAATAGATATTCGGCAGAAGTCAGCTCAGCTTAGTTTTCATGAGTCAAAATGAGAAGTTTCCCAGTTTTTCCTTAGAAGGAAAGTTGATTATAATCCTTCATTCCTAATCGATTCCTGTTTCCCTTCCCTGGGTTTAGAGACGACTGCTGGCTTCCTGCTTGAGTTTTACAAGCCCAGTTACTTATGCCCCACTGGGCTCGTCAGTGACCTCTAAAGAATTCGTGGGCGGAGCCTGCTGAACCCACACCTTTATCATAACACGCCCCCCCTTACTTCCCCACGCCCGACCCTGTTTGGTTTTGTTTTTTTCTATTTCTTTTTAAAAGGAACTGAAAGGACATGCATGGCCGGCCACAGTCAGCAAGAATTCTCCCTTTTACATTCTGGGCAGAGGCTCTCAGTGTTCCTAACTCAACAACAGGATTATTTTTGTAAACCGGAAATAAAGTTGTAAGGTCCTCCAAGCATTTGAATGGACTTTCTCCTCGGCCAGGGGGTTCTTAAGATGTAACCTGAGAGACTGGTTCAGGCCATGATGGGAAGTGGGGGTCAGACGCCAACTTATACTTTTCCGGCATTCACATCAACACAGACCTTAAGTACATTTACAATCTATTCTCTCTGAAGCTTGCTACTTGGAGGCTTCATCTGCACCATGAAACTTCTGTCTCCACAACTCTTACTGCAACCCAGATATCTCCTTTCTGTCGATCCTAGGTCTTTAGATGAACTCAACCAATTGTCAATCAGAAAATTTTAAAACCTACCTGTAATGTGGAAGCTCCCCACCTCGCCTTGAGTGGTCCTGCCTTTCTGGACGGAACCAATGTATTTCTTAAATGTATTCGATTGAAGTCTCATGTGTCCCTAAGATGTATAAAACGAAGCTGCATCCTGATCAGCTTGGGCACATGTTCTCAGGATTTCCTGAGGGCTGTGTCATAGGACATGGTCATATTTGGCTCAGAATAAATCTCTTTAAATATTTTACAGAGTTTGACTTTTTTTGTGTGTCAATATTTTAAAATCACTGTCTTGGGCTGTACTCCCCCTTTTTGAAAAATTTTTGGCTCAAGGAAGTCAGTTCATGGGCTGCCCTTCTTTTAAAGGACAAGCTTCAGTCTTCAAACTGTGCCTACCTACTCGATTACTCAGATAATTTAGATAAAGATATTCCCCAGAAGATTCATATTTGGGAGCCAAAGGGATTCAGAAAATAGTTTCAAGCATCCTTCTGCTTTTAAAAAGATAGGCTGAATCTAAGCATAGTGGCGGATGCCGGTGGTCTCAGCTACTGAGGAGCTAATGCAGAAGCATAACTTCAGCCCAGGAATTCAAATCCTGCCTGGGCAACATAGTGGGAACTCTCTTTAAAAACAAAAAACAAAACTACAAAGAAGAAGAAAGCCTGAGCTCTTAGGTGGTTAGGAAAAACAGAAAAAAAATTTTTTAAGAGTAACATTTACTTTTAAAAACTGAGTGATAGATACAGGGAGTGTTCTGTTGTTTTACGATTTGTTGTACCCTGCATTTATAAATATTATATCTATTCCACTTTTAACAGCTTTCTTGAGGTGGAATTGATATATAATAAAATTTACATAGCTGATGTGTACAGTTTGATAAGGTTTGACATATCTCTATACCTGTGAACCCATCACTTCAGCCAAGATCGATGAACAGCCATCACCCCTAAAAGCTTCCTCTTGCTCCATTATGATCCTCCCTTCTCCACTCCTAATCCCAAGGCAGTCAGTAGCTTGTTTTCTGTCTGTTTTTGAAATAGGACCCAGGGACCAGGGAAGAAACTGAGCAACTCCACAGGACTGGAGATTCTAAGCCCTCAGCAAAGGAGAATGAAAGTAATTTTGTAGAGAATTTAATTCTTCTTTTTAAAAGGGCCTATGGCCACAAAGTTTGCTTGTAAGAGAAGCACCAGAGTAACCCTCAGACTATAACCATTAACAAAATTAAAATGCCTTTGGGAACCTACCTGGCTGGACGACTTTGCCACTTATCTCCAGCTATAGGTATTTCCTTTTGCAAATCGGATAACCTCATAATCCTTCTGGTGACACACTCTTTTCTTTTTTTCTTTTGCACTTATCTTTTGCTTTTGTTTTTGTTTAGGAAAACAGCCTGAATGTTGTTCCTGAAAGGGTTTTTCAGAATTGTGAAAACAAAACAGCATTCTGGAACTCTGAGCAAAAAACAATCCCTGGGTCACAAAGCCCAGTTGAGACAGATGAAATTGACTTTTCAGGCTAGGTGCCTTGACTCATACCTGTAATCCCAGCACTTTGGGAGGCCAAGGCTGGCAGATCACTTGAGGTCAGGAGTTTGAGGCCAACCCGGCTGAGGCATGAGAATTGTTTGAACCTGAGAGGTGGAGGTTTCAGTGAGCCAAGATTGTGCCAGTGTACTCCAGCCTGGGCAACAGAGTGAGACTGTCTCAAAAAAATAAAAATTAAACATAACAATATATTGAATGGTCAAATCAAAAAATAGAATATTTAATTTTCAAAAACCCCTACAAAACAAATGTACTGCTGATACATATAACAAAAAAATTACTCTTAGAGATTAAAGGGAAGAAAGTACATACTGTAGCATTTTATTTACATTAAGTTCAAAAACAAGTGAACTTGACTTATAATGTCATAGACATTTTTGGGGTTATTGACTTACAGGCCACAAAGGAGCCTTCTAGGGATATTGGAAATGTTCTGTATTTTTATTTTGTTGCAAGTGAAACATACACACACACACACACACACACACGTAAAAATTATCAAGGGGTGCACTTAAAGTTTGTGTACTTTGTATGTAAATTTATCTCAATGAAAAAGTAATGACTGTTCAAGAAAAAAAGGACATAATAGGAATGTAAACGGGCATATGTTCATATACAATAGAAACATTTAAACTATGAGAATATTACGTAAACCTTTATGCTAATATGTTTGAAGACTTGGATGAATTGGATAATTTTCTGCAAAATTGAATAAAGAAGACATAGAATATGTGATTAGACTTCTAACCATTAAATAATCTAAACTGGTGGTAAAGATTTTCTCCTTCAAAACTACCAGGCCTGGCCTCATACACTGGTGAGCATCTGTAATCTCAGCTGCTTGACCCCAGGAGTTCAAGTCCAGCTTGGCTTCATCTCAAAAAAGTGTAATTTAAATACAGAAGCACCAAGCCTGTGTGGCTTTATGAAGAGGTTTTTACCAAACTTTCAGTCACTCTTATGATTGTTTGTTTGTTTTTGAGACAGAGTTTCACTCTTGTCGCCCAGGCCACAGTGCAATGACTGTAGCCTCTGCCTCCTGGGTTCAAACGATTCTCCTGTCTCAGCCTCCCAAGTAGCTGGAATTATAGGTATTTGCCACCCTGCCTGGCTAATTTTTGTGTTTTTAGTAGAGACAGGGTTTCACCATGTTGGCTTGGCTGGTCTTGAACTCCTGATCTCAGGTGATCTTCCTGCTTTGGCCTCCCAAAGTGCTGGGATTACAGGAAGGATCCACCATGCCCGGCCTCAATCACTCTTATGTAAACAGTTCTAGAAAATAGAAAATTAAGGAAATCAACACATTGTATAAAGCTAGTAAAACCTTAATAATATTAAGGTTAATATTGTGCAGACAAAAACAATACAAAAAAATTACGGCCTAAGCTCACTCATGAACGAAGATGAAAAAATCCTAAATAAAATGGCATCAAATAAAACTCAGAAGTATATTTAAATATATATATATATATATATATATAAATATAATTTATTTATTTTTTGGTGACAGAGTCTCACTCCATCACCAGGCGCCAGGCTGGAGTGCAGTGGCGCCACCTCGGCTCACTCCAACCTCCGCCTCCCGGGTTCAAGCAATTTTTGTTGAAGACAATTTGATTATATATGTGTAGATTTATAGTAGGGCTCGGTATTCTGTTTCATTAACCATATGTCTTTGTCAGTTCCATACTGTTTGGATTACTATACCTTTGCTATATATATTGAAATCAGGACATGTGAAGCCTCCTGCTTTGTTCTTTCTCAAGATTGCTTTGGCTATTCATGATCTTTTGTAAATTTTAGAATGTTTTTCTATTTCTATGAATAATGCCATGGGGATTTTGATAAGGATTGCAATTGAATCTGTAGATCACTTTGAGCAGCACAAACTTATTTTTTCATGGTAGTGAGTGAATGTTTGCTCTCAAGAAACTGGATTAATTATCACAGGAATGGATTAATTCCCATGAAAGTAGATTTTTAAAAATATATATATATATTTTTTATTGCACTTTAGGTTCTAGGGTACATGTGAAGAACATACAGGATTGTAGCATAGATACATACATGGCAATGTGATTTGCTGCCTCCATCCCCATCACCTATATCTGGCATTTCTCCCCATGTTATCCCTTCCCAACTCCCTATCCACCATTGTCCCTCCCTTAGTCCCCCGGCAACAGACCCCAGTGTGTGATGCTCCCCTCCCTGTGTCCATGTGTTCTCATTGTTCAACACCCACCTATGAGTGAGAACATTTGGTGTTTGATTTTCTGTTCTTGTGTCAGTTTGCTGAGAATGATGGTTTCTAGATTCATCCATGTCCCTACAAAGAACATGAACTCATCGTTATTTATGGCTGCATAATATTCCATGGTGTATATGTGCCACATTTTCCCTGTCTAGTCTATCATTGATGGGCATCTTGGGTTGGTTCCAGGTCTTTGCTATTATAAACAGTGCCGCAATGAACATACGTGTGCATGTGTCCTTATAATAGAACGATTTATAATCCTTTGGACATATACCAGTAATGGGATTGCTGGGTCAAATGGAATTTCTATTTCTAGGTCCTTGAGAAATCGCCACACTGTCTTCCACAATGGTTGAATTAATTTACACCCCCACCAATAGTGTAAAAGTGTTCCTATTTCTCAACATCATCTCCAGCATCTGTTGTCTCCAGATATTTTAATGATCGCCATTCTAACTGGTGTGAGATGGTATCTCAATGTAGTTTTGATTTACATTTCTCTAATGACCAGTGATGATGAGCATTTTTTCATGTTTGTTGGCCTCATAAATGTCTTCTTCTGAAAAGTGTCTTTTCATATCCTTTGCCCACTTTTGAATGGTTTTGTTTATTTTATTCTTGTACATCTGTTTTAGTTCTTTGTAGATATTGGATTTATAAGTC